ATACTGAGATGGGGGAAGAACATGGAAAAATGGAGAAAATTATCTCTCATGAAAATGGGGCAAGAGAAAGAACTCTTACACTGGAGGGGGAAATGGGGGAGATGGTGGGCATTGTTTAAACCTTACTCTTAACTGGTTCAAAGAGGAAAAAATATATACAAACTTAGCAGGGTACAGAAATCTATTTTGTACATTGTAGAAGTTGTAGGGGAAAAGGATAAGAGAAAAGGATGAAGATGATACTGTATTTCACTGCATAATCATCACCACTGCGTAGTATTCCACCTTGTTTTTCTTCAGTCTAAAAATTGGTTCATAACCTTTCATCGCATAATTGTTGCATAATTTTGCTGGTATTGTTGTATAATTCTGTTCATCATGCTGCTTAAAAGGTAAACAAAGTAGCAACATATTCACCAGTGGCGTATGCATATGCATTTATGTCTCAGGCATTGTGAGCCAAGAGCCTAAAATTCTCGGCACACATACTTTGTCAGTATATTTCCAAAAGCTAACTTGCATGGTTTGTTTTCAGCACTGCAGTACTAATAGTATTGTCACTCAACCCAATGAAGAGCCATAGGTGTAAGGGGAACAGGCTGGCAGGCAAAGCTGCCATGAGTAAGTCACATGATATAGTAAGACTTGCATCCTTCCTTACTACCTAAACTGTACAGTTCACCTACCAGCGATACAGTTTAGTAATAAACAATTTTTAAGTAACACCAGCACAATTAAAAAAAAAACAACAACAAACTTCATACAATGGTTGCACCCCACTTTTTTGCAAAAATGAAAAGGGATAAAATCTGTGACAATTATGCAGTGAACTACCATAACAAGAAGGGTGGCTGTAGTAAGCAAAAAAGATTTTCAAAATGGACAGGATAAAAAAAGAGAGAGAAAGAAAAACAGAATAAGATGGAAGGAAAAACATAGTCATCATAACTGTGAATGTGAATAGAATCAATTCTCTTATAAAACTGAAGTGGAAAGCAGAATGGGTTAGAAAACAGAATCAAACAATATGTTGTTTGCAAGAAACACACTACAGAAAGATACAGAGTTAAAACAAGGGGCTGGAGCAGAATCAATTATGATTCAGCTGAAGTAAATAAGGGAAAGGTAGCAATCATTATCCCAGACAAAGAAAAATCGATAACCAGGGAAATTACATCTTGCTATAAGGTACCATAGACAATGAAGTAATATCAATACCAGACATAAATGCATCAAATGGCATAGCATTCAAATCTTTTAAAGTAAAAGTTAAGTGAGTTACAGGAGGAAATGGAAAGTAAAACTATGCTTTGGTTGGAGACCTCAATTTTCCCTTCTTAGGACTAGATAAATCTAACAGCAAAATAAACAAGAAAGAAGTTAAGGAGATGAATAGAATATAGAAATTTAGAATTTTAGCTATGATAGATCTCTGGAGAAAAATGAATAGGAAGAGAAAGGAATATACCTTTTTATCAGCTGTACATAGCACTTTCACATAAATTCACCATATATTAGGGCAAATACAGAAAATCTTTAATATTAACATATTAAATGTATCCCTTTCACATTATAATGTAAAGAAAATCACATACAATAAAGGGCCTTTGAAGCACAGATGAAAACTTAATTGAAAATTAATCTAAAGAATGTGAGGGTTAAAGAACAAACCATAGAAACAATAATTTCATTAAAGATAATAACGAGATAACATACTAAAATTTGTGAAGTGCAGTCAAAATAGTATTTCCTGAAAAATTTTATATCTCTAAAATTTTACACTAACAAAAGAAAGAACCAATCAATAAATTGAATATTAAAAAAACTAGAAGAATGAATGAAAAATCTCCAATTAAACATTAAAACAGAAATCCCAAAAACCAAAGGAGAGTTTAACAAAGAAAAGCCAATGAACTAGTACAAATCAAATTAAGAGCTAGTTTAATGTAAAAATGTAAAAAAAAAAAAAGTAAAAATAATTATAAACCAGTGGCTAATTTGGTTTTTTAAAAAGAAAACCAAATTACCAGTATCAAAAATGAAAAGGGTAACTACATTACCAATGAAAACAAAATTAAAACAATTATTGGGAGATATATTGCCCATAAAAGTGCCTATAAAAGCGAAAATCTAAGTGAAATGGATACATTTTTACAAAAGTTAAATTGCACAAATTAATAGAAAAGGAAACAATTATTTAAATAATACTATATATAAGAATAGGAAATTGAAAAGGCATGAAAAGGCAAGAGAAAAATCCCCAGGATCAGTTGGATTTTCAAGTGAATTCTACTAATCTTTTAAAGAACAATTAATTCAAATACTATATACACTATTTGAAAAAATGCGCAAAGGAGTCCTACCATTCCTCCTATGGCACAAATATGGTTTTGATAAGTAAGGGAGAACAAAACAGAAAAAGAAAGCAACAAACTATTTCCCTAATGAATATGGAGACAAATATTTTAAAAATTATGTATTAGCAGGACATTACAGCAACATAACGTAAAGAACATACATTACAATCAAGCTGTATTTTTATACTAGGAACATAGGGCTGATTCAACATTAGGAAGACTATAGGCATAAGTGAAAATGTTAGTGACAAAAAATAAAAAAAGCATATTTATATCAATAAGCACAGAAAAAAGCTTTCAACAAATTCCTATTAAAAACACTAACAAGCATAAGAATAAATGTAGCTTTTCTTAAAATGAAAACCAGTATCTATCTAAAACCAAGAGCAAGCACGATCTGTAATGAGGATAAACTGGAAGTTTTCCCAAGAACATCAGGGGTAAAGCAAGGATGGTCATGATCAACTTTTATTCAGTATTGTGCTAGAAATGCTAACTATATTAAAGAGAGAGAGAGAAAAAAAAGAAACTGAAAGAATAACAATAGGCAACAAGGGAAAAAAAACTATCACTCTTTGTAGATGATGAGAACCTTAGAGAACCAACTAAAAACGAGTTGAAACGAAGTTGGAGAATATAAAATAAGCCCACATAAATCATCAGCATGTCTACATATCACCAACAAAACCGAGCAGCAAGAGATAGAAAGAGAAATTCCATTTAAAATAACCAAAGACAGTAAAAAATACTTGGGAATCTACCGGCCCAGACACCCTCAGGAACTAAATGAATATAATTATAAAACACTTATTAAAAAATTTAAAAATTAAAAATTGGAGAAATATTAATTGCTCACGGGTATGCTGAACCAATATAATGAAAATAACAATTATACCTAAATTAGTTTACTGATTCAGTATGATACCAATCAAACTACTAAAAAAATTTTTTTATAAAGCTAGAAAAACTAATAAAATTTTATCAGGAAAAAAAAAGTTAGAGAATATCAAGGGAAGCAATTTTTTAAAAGGTGCGGGAAGGTGACCTAGCCATCTCAGATCTCAAATAAAGTGGTAATCATCAAAACAATTTGGTACTGGGTAAGAAACAAAATAGTGGATCAGTGGAATATAGTCATCTATGATTTAATGAACCCACATATGCAAGGTATTGGGTAAGAACTTACTATTTCACAAAAGTTGCTGGAAAAACTGCAAATTAGTTTGGCAGAAATTAGGCATAGACCAATATCTCACACTGTATATCACAACACCACAGTGAAAATGGGTACTTGGGGGCAGCCAGCCTCATAGTCAGGAGGACCTGAGTTCAAATCCGACCTCTGACACATGATATTAGCTGTGTGACCCTGGGCAAGTCATTTAACCCCAACTGCCTCACCAAAAAGTAAAAGAAAAAAAAACATGATTCAGACATAAAGGCTAATATCACTGAGGGGAGCATGGAAAAATTTACCTGTCATGGAAGAAATTGTGACCAAACAAGAGATACAGAGGATCACAAGAAATAAAATTTAAAAGTTTTTGCAAAAACAAAACTAATGCAGCTAAAATTAGAAGGCAATCAAGAAAAGAGAAAAAAAGCTTTTATAGCAAGTTTCTCAAATACAAAGGGAACTGAGTCATATTTATAAAAATAAGAAGCCACTCTCATATTGAAAAATGATCAAAGCATATAAACAGGCACTTTTCAGGAGAAAAAAAAATAAAACTATCACCAGTCATATGAAAAATGCTCTAAATCACTAATAACTAGAGAAATGCAAATTGAAACAACTCAGAGATACCATTTGAAACCTATTAGATTGGATAATATGACAGAAAAGGTAAATGATAAATGCTGGAAGGGTTATGAAAAAATGGGGATAGTAATGTACTTTTAGCGGAGGTGTGAACTGATCAAACAAATCATTCTGGGGAAGTCTGGAATTATCCCCAAAGGACTATAAAACTGTGCATACCCTTTCATTTAGCAGCACCACTATTAGGTCTGTATTCCAAAGAGATCAAAGAAAAAAGGAAAGGACCTAAATGTACAAAAATATAGCAGCTTTTTTTTTTTGCTGTGGTAAGAATGAGAAACTGAATGGATGCCCATCAGTTGAAGAAGATGTAGTATATGATTGTGATGGATCACTACTGCAATTAAGAAATGATGACTGGGTGGATTCAGAAAAATTTGCTATAACAAGTATAAAATGAGGCAAAGAGAAGTGAGCAGAACCAGAAGAATATTGTAAACAGTAACAGTAATATTTTAAAAATTATTAACTTCGCAATTCTGAGGAATAGAATGATCCATGAAAATTCCAAAGGACTCAAAAAAAATGAAGGGAGAACTGATAAACTTTGAGTATAGATTGAGACATATGCTTGCCTTCTCAATAGTTGGGGAAAGAAAGGCAGAAGGGAAAGGATTTTTAACTCAAAACTGTAAAATGAACATTTAAAAAATGTAATTTTTGTGGGGGGAAGATAAATAGAATATCTCTATGGTATCTTTTAGCTCTAAATATGATTCTCTGTGCCCATAATTCCCACTGTTACAGCACAGGACAAAGAAACCTATCCCAAGGTCTCTGGCCTTAGATGTTATTTCAGGAGAGCAGCAAGTGGCACTCACCTTCCTGGGCCTGGCTGTCAGGGCAGGAGCCATTCTCTCTTCCTCCAGGCTGTCCTCCTGGGGCAGAGCAGAGGCCACAGAAGGGAGAGCTGGGGAGCAAAGGAGAAGCAGGACAGTGAGGAGTCACGCTGGGGGTCTGCCCTGCTCACACCAGGCGTTCCCACTTCTCCACTGCGGGCAGATCAGGGAGTGGGGCAGGGGCTGGAAGGGGACCAGAAGGAAGAGGTCATTTCTCTCGGGGGGGGGGGGCCTGTCTTTCGGCCAGCATCTCTTTAAAGAAAAAACTAGAGAACAAAGAGATGATATTGTCAGGAAGGGGAGGGCACTGATCCCTTGCAGCATCAGAGAAGGCTTCCAGGAGGAGGAGGCACCCGGGAAGGGTTCTGGAGGAGAGAAGAATGCTGGGAGGAGATGAAGCTTCAGTAGACTGAGGACCAAAGAAAAGATACACACCAGTAGTTCATTCCTCAGACTCTTTGCACAGAACAAAACATGGAGGCTTAGGAGGAAGATGGCAGCACTAACCAAGGCTCACATGCCCAGGGAGCTAGAGATGCGGATTTTAACCCAGCTCTGCCTTCAGACTCAGCGCCCCCCATGCCCAGAGCCTTCACGTCTGGGCATGCGCTGTCTCCAGGCTACAGTAATCCCTTTGAGTGCATCTTTCCTCTTTGGAGAAGGCTGAGCCTATTCTCTGGGTGCTCCCCAACCATCCCCCACGGCCCCTCAGTTTGCATCTGGATCTGGCCCTAACCCTAACCCGTCACTGTATGGTTCAGGAAAGAAAACGGAAAGACCACCAGCAATCAACTTAGAACAGGAGTAAGGGCAGAGCAGAAGTGACTAGAGTGGGACGTTGCTCCACTCCCTTGGGCTTGGCACGGCCTTCTGGGAATCGTAGTCTGGAGGCTGAGGCGCCTTCTGCGCATGCCTGGGGCTCGGCCCCTCCCCCGGCCTAGAATGCGGTCCTGCCTCCCTGCCTGCCCCGTACCTCCCCGCCCTTCCTGCCAGGAGCCCCACCCCCTCCGCTCCTCCCCTTACCTCCTGTGTGGTCTTCACAGCCCCAGAGCCCACAGGGAGTCACCAGGCGTGGGCTCACAGACCTCGAGGGGTCCTGGGCTCCTCCGAAGCTAGTTTAGCCCGCAGTCTCCCTTACTTAAGCAGCCAGTCACAACAGGCCGCGGGTCTAATGAAGTGCTTCTGGTGCGCCGCCATCTTCTCGCAGGAAGTGACGCAAACACGCAGGGAAGCCACGGCTCTGAGGAGGGAGACCACGGGCTGGGGCAGGATCCCCGGAGCGCTCGCTCAGCCCCATGGGGCTTCCAAGAGGAGCAGGACACGAGTGAGCCCAGGGCAGCAGGAGAGGTGAAGGGGGCGCCGGCCAGGACAAGGCCGTGATCTCTTTGTGTCTGTTTCCTCTGCCAAGGAGACTGACCCGAGGGAAGCCAGGAGACGTGGAGAGCGTTTGGCTGGGCCTGGGGAATGCCAGTGGTCTGCTAGATGGGCTCAATAAAACTCAGAGCTAACGTTTACGTGGAGCTCATTGTGTTCCAGGCAGGGCTAAGTAATTTACAAGGACTATCTCGTCTAGTCCTCACACCAACCTTGGGAAGCAGGTGCTGTTAAAGACCCTATTTTATACATGTGGAAACTAGGGTGAAGTGACTTGCTCAGGGGTCCCACAGCTAGCAAGTGCCTGAACTTGGATTTGAGCTCAGGTCTGGGAGAGGTAACAGCAGCAATGGGACAAGTTGGATTCATAACAGGACTTCATCGCCAGTACGTGGTTACCTGTGTGGTGCTTTTCTGAGCTCACAGAATACCTGGTCAAAGCAATGTCATAATTATATGATTTTGCCAGGGGGTGAGATCACCCAGATGGTGAGGACAGAGGATCATTGTTATGCCAAGCTCAGGACACAGCTTACTTGCTTGGCCTTAGCCCTGGAAAACAGGGTATTTCTGAATATCTTGACAAGAGAATATTGACAAGCAATAATTTAGCTTGGTACCATCAGCCACCAAGACAGCCTCCCAAGCTCCTTATCTATGGTGCTGCCATCCTGCATTCTGGAGTCCCTGCCTGGTTCAGTGGCAGCGGGTCTGGGACAGACTATACTCTCACAGTCATCACTGTAGAGACTGAAGATAATGGACTGCATTACTATCAACATCATTACAGCTGGCCTGTCACAGTGATCCAGCCCTGAACAAAAACCTCCTGGTGAAATTTGGCTTCCTTAGCACAGGGGCACAACTGCTTAACCTTAGGTCAGAGCAGTGACTGCTGTCTTGTCAGGACTGAGCTCGGAGAAAAAGCAGGAGAAAGAAGAAACAAAAAAAGTATGCTTCTATCTGCATTCAGACTACACAGTTTTTTTCTCTGGATGTGGATAGCATTTTCCATTATAAGCCTTTTGGAATTTTCTTAGAGCTTTGCATTGCCGAGAAGAGCTAAGTCATTCACAGGTGATCACTGTACAACATTGCTGTTACTATGTACAATGTTCTCCTGGTTCTGCACACTTCACTCAGCATTGGTTCATTTAAGTCTTTCCAGTCTTACCCGCTCATCATTTCTTATGGAACAGTAGTATTCCATTACATTCATATACCACAGTTTGTTTAGCCATTCCCCACTTGATGGGCATCCCCTCGATTTCCAATTCTTGGCCACCACAAAAAGAGCTGCTGTAAATATTTTTGTACATGTGTGTCCTTTTCCCATTTTTATGATCTCTTTAGGATACTGCCCTAGAAGTGGTATTGCTGGGTAAAAGGGTATTGTGCAAATTCTTTTTAATATCACATAATCAAAAGTATTCCTTTTTCTTCCTCTTCTTTACACATAGACTCTGCTTATCCAGATATGACAGTTACATTTCCCCATGTTCCTCCAATTTACTTATGTTATCACCCTTTATGTCTAAATCCATTTTCACCTTATTGTGATATATGGTGTGAGATGTTGGTCTGTGTCTAATTTCTACCAAACTGCTTGCCAGTTTCCCCAGCAATTCTTGTCAAATGGTAGAAGTTTGGATCTCTGCATTTATCAAACACTAGATTACTATAGTCATTTTCTACTGTGCATTGTGTACCTAATCTATTCCATGGATCTAACAGTCTATTTCTTAGCTAGTACCAGACTTTTAACAAAAATCTGGAACTGCTAACCTTTCTTCCTTCACATTTCCCCCCCCCCGGATATTCTTGACCTTTTGTTTTTCCAGGTGAATTTTGTTTTTATTTTTGCTAGCTGTATAAAATATTTCTTTTGTAGTTGGATTACTAGGGTGCACTGAATGAGTAAATTAATTTAGGTAGAATTGTCATTTTTATTATATTGGCTTGGCCTACCCATGATCTATTAATATTTCTCCAGTAGTGTTTTGCGATTGTGTTCATATTATCCCTTGGTTTATCTTGGCAGTACTTGGAAATGTTTCAAAGTATTTGATGTTGTCTGCAAGTATTTTAAATGGAATTTCTGTATCTCTTCCTGTTGGGTTTTGTTGGAAGTGTAGAGAAATGCTGATGACTTATGTGGGTTTATTTCATAAACTGCAATATTGCTAAAGTTCTTCATTGTTTCAACTAGTTTTTTAGTTGTTTTTCTAGGGTTCTTTAAGGTTATGATCATATCGTCTACATGGAGTTTCCTCATGGAGTTGTTTCCTCATTGCTTGTTTTTATTCCTTCAGTTTCTTTTTTATCTTATTGTAATAGATATTATTTTGAGTATAATATTGAATAGCAGTAGTATAATGGCCATACTTGCTTCACCCCTGATCTTATTTGAAAGATTTCAATTTTCTCCTCATTTCAGATGTTTGCTCTTGGTTTTAGATGAATACTACTTATCAGTTTAAGAAAGTCTCCATTTATTCCTGTGCTTTGTATTGTTTTTAATAGGAATGGGGGTTGTATTTTGTCAAAAGCCTTTTCTGCATCTTCTGAGATTATCACATGATTTTTGTTGTTTTTGTCATTGATATAGTTACAATTTTTAAAATCATCATCATCTTGTATATACTATTCAATTAATGATTAGAAAGTGAGATCAAGGTTCTAGAATAGCTATAGCATACATGCCTGATAAAATTATGATTCTCAATAATGATTCTATGAATTATCTAAGGAACAAAACAGTGACTCCAAGATCAGGCTGAAATCTTCAAACTAATGAATACATATATTCTGGAAAGTATAAAAGGGTAAAAGATACAAGTCTAAAGACACAGTAGACCCCAAACTGAATGAATGAGGCTAAAGATTACCAACATAATAATAGGATTTGAAGAAGAATGCCTTGGCCCCAGTTATTCCAAACTGCTTATTGAACTTTTCACAATGCCATAGTTGATACACTATCATAGCTAAGAAGTACCCTCTGTCCATCTGTCTCCTTGTAGACAATTTTTTTATGGTATTAGTAATAGCTTGTAAAACTGCTTAACTGTGCTTGGTTTTCTCTTTCCACTTTATGCTGTAGATACCAGATATAATTGTTTTGCAATTAGATCCTAATGAAATGACAGAGGGATCTCTAGGTCAAATGTAGACTCTCCCAGAAACTGCTTGTATTCTGAGCAGAGTGAAAGAATTTAACCACAAAATCAAGAATGAAAGTTTGATTCTTCTCACATATTAACACTCAGACTAGTCCAAGGAGGATCAAGTGATAACAAATGAAAAAATCATGGACCACTACAAAGTTTTATATATTCTTCTTTCTCTGAATGTTTAAGGCCTCTAAGGATTCACCTGGAAAAAATCTTGACTTCCTTGTACTACTGACATGCCAATTCAACCAGTAGTCTTGATCTCCTTTGGTCTTGAGTAGAAGGTGAAAAACTGGGACAGGCTCAAGTTATTTGTGGACCTTTTAGATTCCTGGCTTTAACATCCTCAGTATGGTCCTTGCAAAGATGATCTCTCCCTAAATTTCAGTTTTCTTATCTATACAATGGAAATATTAAGACCTAAAAGTTTCTTCAAGGAAAATGTTTTGTAAATCTTAAGTCAGGATATAAATATTTGATGCTATTATTCTCCTTCCTTTGCATCCCTCAAACATTGTACTGACCATACAATAGCTTTGAAAGGGTAAACAAATGAATATGTAAAAGTTGGATACATAAAAGAGGACATTAGGCACATGGGAAGCACTTCATGTGAAGGATGTCACTTAAGAGGGCAGTATTGGGTAACAGAGTGCTTGGTTTTGGAGTCACAGTCATGGACAGATTTATGAGATGAGGTTTATATACCTGTGATAAAATCATGACCCTCTTACTCTGGATGGCTTCTGGCTCTGACTAAACACACAATCATTTTCACTGTCCCAGCGTTCGCTTCCTGGCTGGTAATCAACAAGCATTTATTAAATACCTAACACCTACAGGGCACTATGCTAGGTACAGGGTACATAAAGGAAAAATCACATCCTGCCCTCTAGGAGTCTATATTCTTATGGTGGAAACAATATGCACACAGGGTATCATAAATATGAAACAGATACAAAGCATGAGGTGAAGCGAAGATGGCAGAATACGGGGGCTATTGCCAAACTCTCAACATTCCTCACCAAAAAAACTTTAAAATAATGCAGTGAAACGTATTCTGGAGTGGCACAGCCAAATGAAGGTGGTTGAGGTATTTTTTCTAGGCCAACACAATTTAGGGGGTCAGAAGGAGCAGCCTATGCCACTGACTGGTCTGCAGTACACATGACAGTAACACCAGATCTGGGTCTTAGAGGTGGCGGCGGCGGCAGCAGACGAAACAATTCAGGGAGATCTCATTGTCCAGAGACAGTAAGGAGACTGGACAATGGTCAGAAAAAGATTACGTGGGACTTCCTGTAACACCTTGATTGGCCTTTGACTTCCTTCAAATGTCAGCTAAAGTCCCACCTTCCACAAGAAGCCCCTCCTGATCCCCCTTAATGCTGGTGCCTTGCTTCTGTGGATTATTTGTTCAGCATATATCTTGTTTGCATGTCATCTCCTCCAGCAGACTGTGAGCTCCTGGAGAGCAGGGATTGTCTTTTGCCATTTTCTTTGTAGCCCCAGAACTTAGCATAGTGCCTGGCACATAACAGGCACTTAATAAATGTTTGTTGAATGACTGACCAAAAAAATATTGCATGGGACTTCAGTAAAGGTTCTGGGTGTGGGGCTGGGGGGTACTTGGCAACTCTAGTGTACATCACTTAGTTCCCAGTTACAGGATAGAGCTACAAACCCTTGGGGACCAAGGACGCTGGAGCCCTGGTTATAATTCCAGGGCCAGAGAAACAGCATGAAATTTAAGTTTCTTATAAAAACAAAACTAATGCAGCCAAAATTAGGCAATTGAGAATAATGGAAAATATTTTTATATCAAGTTTCTCTGATAAAGGCCTTATTTCTCAAACATACACAGAACTGAGCAATATTTACAAAAAGCTCCAGAGATGCACTGCAAGCTATTGGTTTTTCCATTACCAATGTATGGCTGTGACAGTAGGCCTATAAGGAAAACTGAGAGGCACAGAATTGATGCTTTTGTATTGTGATCCTGGAGATTTTTGAGAGTCTTTTGGATTGCAAGGAGATCAAATTAGTCAATGCTAATTAATTAAGAAATTAAGGCTATTCACTGGAAGGTCAAATACTGAAGCTGAAGCTGAAATACTTTGGCCACATGAGAAGATGAGACTCATTGGAAAAGACTAATGGTAAGAAAGATTGAAGGCAAAAGGAAAATGGGATGGCAGATGAGATGGATAGATAGTATAATGGAAACAATGAACATGAACTTAGACTTCAAGAGACAGTGCAGGACAGAAGGGCCTGATGTGCTGTGGTATATAGGGTCATGAAGAATCAGACATGACATGTTCTTCCCCTTAAAATCTGAACTCATGTAGAGCAGAAACTGTCTCCTCTTTACTAGTTGCACCCTCAGCTCTTAGCACATTGTTTTAAACGCTGTAAGCACTTGGCAAAGGCTTTTTCATTCATTCAGTTGTCTATTCGTTTCTAGAATTAGGCATAAGCATTTCCAAAGATCAAAGCTTTACAGTGAGGGAGAATCTTACAACCCAGTAACTTTAAAACCTTCATTACAAACATGAAGGAACTAAGGGGCAGAGAAGTTAAGTGATTTGCTTTAGGTCAGAAGTAGTGACAGAACTGGGATTCTAAGCCAGATTCCATGACTCCAATTCAGAATGTTTCCATTGGACCACATTTCCTCCTAATCTTACCTATTCCTTTCTGTGATGCTTTGGCTCCTCCTTCCCCAAAACTGGCAATAAGGAATGCAGGATGTGGAATTCATCTCCAAAGGAATACATGGACCCTGGAATTGTGGAAAG